CTGTGTAATATATTTTTTAAATTTTAGTTTAAAAATGATAAAAACTGAACATCCTACAGTATTTTTACAGTCTTTATTTTACAGTTAAAATTTATGTTTATTATATAAAATCTAATGTTACAACTAATCGTGGCTCTCTCAAACGTGAGCCTCAGCAGTATGTGGAAGAACCATACACAGCCACAAAGTCCTGGCACCTCCTCCTCGTGCCGCTCACCAGCCATCATCCAGTCCACCAAACATGAAACGAGTCAATGGCAGAACAAGTTGTTTGTCATTGGCAGAGAGGATTTGGCAAATTTTCATGTGCGTAACCCACATACTCAGCTCTGCTGCTCATCCCACAAAGACGTGTTCCTTACACCACTTAAAAGGGAACTTAAAGGGGCAATACCATGTAAAATCAACTTCCTTGAGTTTTATATCATGTTATAATGTTATCCTCTCATCAAAAACATGCCCAGAGTCTTACTTTGACATTCATGCATGTTTGAGGAATCCTGTCGTGTCCTGAGGCAGCCAGGCGGGGGAGCAATAACGACCGGTTGGGCCCAGAACCAACTTTTGGGTTGTGTCTCTGAACCAAGCTTCCTCAACACAGAGCACACCTCCTCCACCCCCCTTACCAGCTGAAACGTCATCTCTGTGATCGCTCTGGTTCTTCAGAAAACTTTCCGGTCTGACAGTAAGGTTCATATGTATCCAGAGYTTCAATTTTCCAAAACCAAACTTGTTGCTGCTTTTTTAATTATCCTTACAACAAAGCATGCTACAACGCTCCAGCTTGTAAACAGCAGAGAAGCGGCTATGATGACGTGCTGAAATGGGTGTGACAGGATCAGAAGGAGGTTCTTAAAGAGACAGAGGCCAATTTCAAGGTGTTTGGAAATGGAAACAAATGAGAAGCCAAGTTTATTTTTGATTTAAACATATTTTTTTAATAACAACTGAAGGTGACATTACTAAATATATGCCTGACAAACACACAATATTGCCCCTTTAACAGAGTTTCAAACAGTAAAGGATTTATTGTTACAACAAAGAAATAATCTACCAAACACAAATTTCCTTACTTTTTGTGCTAAGTTTACTTTCAGTAATTAATTTCTAATAATTTAATCTAAATTCACCCAGTTGTTAATGTGATATTTTGCTCACAGACAGACACATGAACTCACAGACACAGGCAAAAACATACCTGCTTCTTGTCTTATAGCAGCAGGTGATACAAAATTTAAAAAACACCCATTGTTTTATATTTTTGTCACAATTTGGATTAATCCAGAATGATTTTCTTAGGCCTTGATTTTTTTAAGGATCAGATTGAAAAGTCAGAATGGAGCTCTCTTTAGACTATGCAGCAGAGATATAATCCTAACCGTTTTTTTTTTTTTCAGAGGAGAGATCTGTACTCCAAAAGTCATCCATGTGAAAGCATCTGTTGCCATAACAACCTGAGACAGAGGAGACCMCACCCAGGTGGTTGTTATGACAAAGGTCAGAGTATACAAAAGTCCAAATCCTAAAACAATTTTAAAATTTATTTTCAACTATTTAATGATACAGAGGGTAAAATAAGTATTGAACACGTCACCATTTTTCTCAGTAAATATATTACTAGAGG